CTCCTTGATCCAGTAATTTCACTGTTCTGGAAATACTGCAAAACAGCCTTCTGTTTTTGGCTTTCACATTTTTATTGGTTCTTCCATATGGAATAATACAGTGATTAGAGAGGCTGAAAGACATGGCGCGTTGTAACGCCACCAGTCGCACCGACCAAGGCTGCCTCCCCTTTCCTGGACAACCCTGCTTTCGTATGTGACCTTACCAGACCGCAAGTACAGGACACAGGTAAAGGATGTGAAGCCAGGACAGGTTTGCATAACCTGCAGCTACATCTATTCCCTCTGTGTCTATGTTATGAAATTGTCTTTAATTCCATCATCACTTAATGTTTTCCCCTTCCCTGAGCTGCAGCTCTTAGGGAGAGCAGCTCTTTCTCGCATAGGGAGTAAGATAGTCATGATTTTTGCTTATAGCTGTTGCAGAGTGCTAACCTGGGCTGCTTTCAGCAGTTGACAGTGCTTTGATCTGGGAGGTCCCCAGCTGCTTTCTTCCTCCTTGGCTGTGCTAGTGTGAATCAGTTACTTCCATGAGAACTGAGTGGAGGTACTTTATTTAGATTTATACCAATGTGCCTGCGAATCAAGTGTAGTCCTTGAGTTAGGTCTAATCCATAGGCTGGCGCTGATGCCATTTATCTGCAGTTTATACAGGTGCTTCCACTAGCTTGTCAGAAATTTAACTTCTGAAGGCCCAGGGATTTTTAATTTCAGTTTAAAACATTGTATCTGATTAAAAATTATTATTACTTTTTAAAGAAAAGAACTGTTCTTGAATTCAGGATCTGCCTTCTGTTTTCCATGGTATTAATGAGCATTAGTGAGTGCTGATCCAGGTTATACTGCAGAAGCCGTGAGGACTGCATGTCCTACACAGGGCTAGAGCATCTTTCTGCAAAACTCCTAATTGATTTCTTTGGAACAGCATGAGGAATTGGTGAATCAATCTAGCGTGGTATGCTGAGTAATACACTTTCCTTAATCAGCTTTTTATTGCTGAAAGCTGTAGACTATTGTGCAGGAAAAGGTAGTTTTGCAGTTACAAATAAATCATGGAGGATTACAATTCCCAGAGCTTACATTAAAGGAGAATTGATTGTTTTCTTCAGGCTGCCTGAAACAAGCAGGCTTTCTTGTCCAGCCACTGAGCTTTGAATGTACTGGTATGTAGTAAATTCAGAGTGATTGAATGAGAAGGTTTTCTTGCTCATATTTCACCAAGACAAGGAAATGAAAGGCAGCCTCACATTACTGCATTTCATCCTGCACTCTGAACTGGGTTGTGAAACCCAAGAATAAACGATGGCCCATTTTAATGTCATTGGGGAAGGAAATGAGTGCACTGCAATTGCTTGGAAGGACACAAAGAAAATCAATTAGCTTATTAGATCCAGAGGGGTTATCGGTTCAAGTAAGATCTAGAACAACATTGTAGTAACCTTCCTTGTGTTGGCCGTTCCTCTCCCAACTCCGTGTCCTGTTCAGCCGCGTGGTTCCGTGTTGTTGCTGGGAGCTGAATAAGAAGTGATATGCCCTTCTGCATGCTCGGACGCTCTCACACACCTCCGCCCTGTCCTGCTGCCTGTGGAGTGAGTGCCAAGGCCACGGGACATTTTTACGCATCTATAGAGGAGCCGAGGGTTGAGCATTACTGGGGTCACACAGCGTTACAGGGTGAGCAGAGGCCAAAATGCTCCGGAGACTCGTATTGGGTGTTGAGGGAAGAGCCAAGAAAGACTCACGTGAAGAGTAGAGCCGCAGCCTGGGGAAAGCATTTCAATTTCCTCGGGTTTCACGGCCACCTTGGCTCCTTTCCGGAGACTTCGCCAATCCCATCTGCCCTGCGCACAGTGCATTCTCTCATTGGCCACAATAGCAATAATTACACAAATAAAATAGATTCTCTCTGAAAATAAGGTTGTCTTTTTCAAAGCGCCATTGAGGGCGGGTAGTCCTGATAGCGGGAACGTTTATAAGGTAGGAGATGACACACATTGTTCACTTTATCTTCAGTCTGGATATTTGCAATGAAGTCATAGAATTTAAGACACAATGGCAATACGATTTGTCTCAAGAAAAGCTACTCTCTTTAATGAATGTATAGCTGCATGAGGACTAATTTTTCCATCCCTAAATAATAGTTTGAAATAATTAAATGACAAAAAGTGCAATCATCTCCTTACTATTTAAAGTTGGGAGATTGGAGTTAAACTTCTACTGTGAACTAGAATATCTGAATACTATAATTTTAGGGACCAAAGAATAACCGTATTATTGCAATATTATTGTGGAACACATACGAACAATTAGTGGAGATGTAGATCCAGTTCAATATAGTTGTGCTAAACTACATGTCACTGCAGCAAAGTTTAATTGTTCATATTTTGTGTCTGCTGTGAATCATAATCTTTTCTAGCAGGTCTATTAAAATGCATGATTTTATACTCGCTGGTGGTAATCCAATGTAATGAAAAAACAAAACATTTCACTTAATTGAAATGTATTTATATATTTTACAGTAACTATTTTAGGAACAGTGTTGTCAATTTTAAAGAAAGTCTGCCTAACGATTCCTTGCTGTGAGCAATTTATTTTCTAAACAGACTGGTAAGGTACAATTTTTTTATTAATGTTGTTCTACCTGTATTTGATGACAATCCATCAATTTGACTATGTAACTGGAGCATATATGCTTTTAGAACTAGTAGCAGAAGTGGTTTGTGGCAGTAAAACTTAGAAATGGTTTTGATTTGAAAATTGATTTACCATTTCCCCATAAAGTTATTAGGTCTCTAAAGTAGCAATTTAACCTTGTCTTGCAGTGCAGTTGGTTCTTAATGAACTTGTACTTCGTAACCTTCTGCAAATTGTTGGCTTCTTTAGAAAATAATGATAAAATCAGACACCCTCCTGGCACTGTCTGCCTTACATGACTCCCACATCTCCTCTCCGAGGGCGGGCATTAGGACATGCTTGGAGGGGAAGGCACAAAAAACTACAGGAACATCTGAAAACCTGCCTACGCCGGAATTTCTGTCTGACCTCCCAGGCCGAGATGTCGGCTTGTGGTCTGAAGTAAGAAAAGAAATGTCTCTTCTGAAGCTCCAGAGGTGAAATCCTGGCCTCTCTGAAGGCAAGAGCAGTTGTGTCCTTCAACACAGTTGGTATTTCATGTTGTGCATTTTTAATCTTTATTATAAAAAAAGGGCCTGGAGTAATGCCTGAATTAACTAACCTAGTCATCTTCACTGAAACACTCGCAGGTCTGACTAGGCAGAAGTCAGGGTACTGAAGACCAAAGTAATTACAATTTCTACATCTCTTTGTAGTAGTTTGATTTATAAAAGCACCCTGGAGATGCAGGGTGGTCCTTACAGATATTCATCTGCTCTTTCCTCTTCCCTGTGCTGGCCGCAGAAAGCTCCCGGCTCCTGTGCCACTGCGCTGCTCTGCTGGCAGCCCCAGGAATGATGCGACAGCAGGAACGCTCCTGCCTTTCTGTCTGGTTGCTGCTTTTAGCATTTAAAAGTTCTGGGTTTTCCATAGCTTCCGGCCAAGTCTTTACACTGATGTCCTGCTTGAATGAGCCCCAGAGGCCTTGCAGGCTGCCCGGGTCGCAGTGCCGGGGCTTGTTCTTAGCCACCCCCGTTACAAGTAGCAAGGGCGTCCTGCGAAGGGAAGGGGCTGCATAGCCTCTGCCATCTTGCATTAACCTGCCACTAGTGTCTGCCAAACAGTAAGCCTCTGTCGTGGTCTTGGCTGCTGCTGGCCTTTCTGCTTTCAAGGTACATGTATTAGTAGCAGCTCTGCGGTTCAGTTAAGTATCTGAATTTGAAAATATCTGAATTTGAAAAATGTCTGAAAAAATCTGTACAGACCTTCTTTTACCCTCAGGATGGCAAGAACACTATGTGTTTCTCCTGGTGACATTTTAACATAATGAACTGCCTTAGCTGCTATAGAAAGGTTGGATTACAGGTTCAGCAAGAAAAGAAGTCTTTTCCATTTGTATTTACAGGTCAACACACTGGTTACAAAGAGGAACAAAGATGCTTTATGTGATAAGTCATTTGAGAGGCATCATCTGTCCTATAGGAAAAAATGTGTAATTCTTACCTTGTTGTTTCTTTCTGCTTCAGCTAAATTAACCCTTTAAAAAGAAAAAAAAATGGACCTGAAAATTTACACTGAAAGAATATGCAAGTCTGGGAAATGCTACTGACTCTAAAACATTCACATTAGGAATTTTGGAATACTTAATTTTATTTCCATTTACTCTAGTAGAGCAAAACTTTTGCATCGTTTGCTTTGTGTTTGATTCTGAAACCATTACTGAATTATCCCTAATCACACGCTCAGGAGGGACCTTCCTTGAGTGGCACTGCATGCTCCTGACCGCCTGTGCTCATGCCAGGTGGGACTGGATGCAGTGCTCTTAGATATGAGGTGAACCAAGGCTCAAGCTTGTTTTTCTCCTCCTCAGGAAAGGGTTGATGGGACCGATCCTTTAAAATCTCAGCCAGTCCCCTGAAAACTTATTGACGTCAGTGGGAGCACTTCCAACAAAAGTCAGCCAGGGCATTCAGGTGGCCAACGTGCAGGATCACCGGCAGTACCAGGGAGACCAAGCTGGAAGTTTTGCTAACTTTGATTTACTTTCCCTATAAAAGTGAGGCTCTGTAATGTACTTGGTTGGGCAAATGCCAATATGTGCCAGGCACTTCTCTGGCACATCTTCTGGACCACGCGCAGGCAGAAGGGCCTCTGCACAGAGGCTAGCTATCATAAGCACGGCCATGTATTTCTCATGCTAAAAGGAAACCTGGCTAAATGGGAAAAAGCTCTTTCAGACTTTTCTGTTTGCATGTCAGCTTGGTTGTTGTGGATTAAAAAATTAAAGCAAAATAAAAGGGATGTAATGAAAAGTGCAAGAAAAGAGATTGTGAATCCAGTATAAATGGGCTTTGTGGGGAACATGCAAACACAAGAGGTGTTCTGCAATGATTTATGAAGCTGTGTGCACAGAAGCAAAGGTGACCCCAGCTGTGAAGTACACGAAGGTAAAGCTGCCACAACCGGAGGGTGCCAAGGCCTTGCCGACCTCCGTCGCCCCCCTTGCAGGAAAAGGCCCCTTTCTGGAGGCACCAGGCAGAGCCAAGTTATCCACCCTGAGCCCTGCCGCCCGCGCAGCCACCACGCTGTTCCCATTCGAAAACTTCACGCTTGATGCAGCCGATTTCTTCTTTAATTGCTGTGATTGCTGTCCACCTGTGCCAGGCCGCAAGGGGGACCAGGGAGAGCGAGGTCTTCCAGGTAGGGGATGGCTTTCCTGGGACTCTCAAGAGGATGTGGCAGCTGATAGGTATAAAGTAGATCAACAGTTTTCCTCTTGTATCTCGAAGAAATGCTTTAGCAGGAAGGTGCAGGTGTGCGCAAAGGCCACCGGTATACTGCAGGATTGTGGGCACCCTGTCCTGTCGCCCTCTGTGCCTCGCACCCCTGCTCTGGTGTTTTGCCTCCTGATGGTTGCAGATTGCTTTTGCTTCAGCCATGGTCTCAGTACCCTCAAAACTACCTGAAAGCAGTTTTGTATCTTTTCTGAAAGTTTATGATAAAAGCCTCTTTTTTGGGCTTTCTTTTTTTTTCTTGGAAAAGGATAAATACAAACATAATTTTGGTTTCAAATTTTAAAATAGTCATTTGTTCTCATAAGTCACTCTATATGGCATCTAAATATTTTGTAAGACATACACTTTGCCTCTTTTTCTACTGCTAAAATACATATCTATAGAAGGCCTGATTCTAACACTGTTATAATGAGTAGTGCATTAATCTGCAAATGTTCACTTTAATAGCACTAATATTGGAGATAGAAAATATTCAGCTGAGAAAAGGTGGTAAAATCATGATTTTTAAATTTTTTTAATATGATGTACTCAAGGGATTTTCACTTCCCATAGTTCAAGAGGGATGGGCTAATGGAAATTATCTCAGCTGCAGAGAGAGTTTACACTCACATCCCTTTCGCACTGATAGAAAAGTTCTCATGTCAGGCGAATGGTGTTGTGACAATTCAAACTGCCATACTCTCCTCCTGGCTGTGCCCTGGGAGTCTCTAGATTCCCACGCTGGTGAAAAATTAAAAAAACTGAAGCTAGCTTGCTTGCCTTTCAAGCCATTCCTTACATAGCACAGAGCTTTCTGCCAGACTCCACATTTACATTTGCAGAATTTTTTTTTTTAAGGCGAGGGGCAATTACAAAGCTGTAGGAGCTCCTTAGATGCATTCAAATGTTTAAGACAGATTTCTTCTGATGTTTTATGAATGTCTGAGCTCCTATGGCTCTGAGGCAGCTGGAAGTTAGTTTTAAAAAAACCTTTAACTACAGCCAACAGCTACATGCAAAATTATAAGACTTTGGGGACTGCAAAAGCTGAAAGGCAAAGGTTCAGGCGCTAAGTGCCTGACAGGAGGATTTGCCAGTGCAGCCCTCATTAATCTCGGTATGGGCCGGCTGGCGTTTCCTCTGCCAGCCCTCCCCTCTCGCCCTGCCGCAGGGTTGCAGCCATAGCGGCCACAGCGCATGGTACGCAGGCCAGCGCCCTGCTGCCTCCCGTTATCTTCGCCTCAGTTGTGTGATACCAGACAAAATAGGCAGCTCTTTCCACGATAATGGAAACACAGTCTGTCTTACAAGCACCTCTTGATGCCATATTACTTATGCGGTTATTTCTAAGAATTTTCTTTACAAAGTTAATCCTTTGAATAACTAAGATAATTTTGTTAATGTGATAACAGGCCCTAAAGGAGAGAAGGGAGACGCTGGTCTTCGAGGTCTGCCAGGAACGCCAGGACCTCAAGGTCCAAAAGGTTTTAAAGGAGAAAGAGGTAAAGCAGACTAACTGCCGATTTTGAAAACAGATGTTGTTGTCCTCATCTGATACCACAAAGTTATAGGATAAATTATTTTACAAAGGAAACAAAATATGCTGACATGGATTGACACCTTGCAGGATTCAGCTGGCATTAATAGAGCGGGAGTAACTCAGATGCTGGTAGAGTATGCTCAGGTAGCATAAGAATGGATGTTCATAAGGATCTCATCCAGTGCTCCTTGTTCTAAACAGGAATTTTTAAACTGACTTCAAAATTTGCTTTGGATCAGAAAAAGTAGAAAAAAATTATCATGGAAGCTATACGCAGATGTATCAGCTACTTTTCAGTTCCAGTATCTCAGCCAGAATGGCTGCAGCTAAGCTGGAGAGCAATAATTCATCGTTAGCAGTAACCTGGAAGAAACTCTGCCTCTGGTTTTGGGCTCAGAGCAGCTCCATCCGGCTATCACACACTGCTGATAGGAGCTTGCTGTTGTCTCTGGTCGCAGAGAGACACAGAACGGATAATCTAAATAACCGCACAATGTGCTGCTCTGTTTTCGGTTGTGCTAGTGCGGTCTCTTAGGCTTTGATGTCACTGCTCGAATTAGACTTTTGGAAATCCGTGCATGAAAAGTGTGGAGCTGCCATCTTCTCCATCTTGCCGTTAAGCAGCATCAATCTCCCTCCCAGCCAAGTGCTCAGAGTCAGAAATTTAACATTGGGGTGACTTACAGTTTGCTCTGTGGTGGTGCTTGTGCTGTGTGATTTTGGCTAAGGTTTCTGACAGAACTTCTTGAAGAATAACAGCGCTCAAATGTGTAGAGACATGTGCAGAATGGTACTAGTCATGTTCTGTATACTGGTTACTGTGCTACAGATAATACCACTAATAGCATATTAATGGTAACATGTCCTAGGTGGCAAAGGGGAACAAGGCGAACGAGGAACAAACGGCATCCCAGGTTATCCAGGCAAACCTGGAGTACAAGGTATGTACCACAGGCTGCTGGAAAAGCTGAGAATATTGTGCTGGCATTTCCCTTTGCTGTTGGTGATGCCCCCTGCCATTGCCACAGCAATCCAATACTAATGGTGCCCTGTGCCTTGGGAGTTTTAATCTCTCTCCCTTTTTTTCCCCCGCTAACCTGCTTTTTGTCTTTGTCCTTTTTCTAGGTGAAGCTGGAGTAAAAGGCAATAAGGGCAACTACGGCCTCCCTGGACTGAAGGGCCAAAAGGGGAGCAAAGGGGACACTTGTGAGAATGGGACCAAAGGAGCCAAAGGAGATCAGGGGGACACTGGGGCCCCAGGGCTGGATGGAGAACGTGGGGACAAAGGGGAAAAGGGAGACATCGGGGAGAAGGGGTATTGCGGGGAGCCGGGAGGGAGAGGGGAGAAGGGTGAGAGGGGGGAAGGTGGGATGAAAGGAGAGAAAGGCAGCAAAGGAGAAACAGGGGTTGAGGGTATCCATGGGATGGATGGAAAACAGGGTGAAAAGGGTGAGCAGGGAAGTAAGGGTGAAAAAGGGGACCTGGGACCCACTGGCATCATGGGACCCTCGGGACCCAAGGGGGACGCTGGCAGCCGAGGGGGCAGAGGGGCTCCTGGCAAGAAAGGCTCCCGAGGCGTGAAGGGCGCCAGAGGCGACAGCATGAAGCTCCCGCGATCGGCATTCAGTGCTGGGTTGTCCAAGCCCTTCCCTCCACCCAACGTCCCCATCAGATTTGACAAGGTTTTGTACAACGACCAGGAGGATTATAACCCTTCCACCGGGAAATTCAACTGCAGCGTGCCCGGGGCGTACGTCTTTGCTTACCATCTGACGGTGAGAGGGCGGCCAGCCCGCGTGAGCCTGGTGGCCCAGAGCCGGCGAGTGGCCAAGGCTCGCGATACACTCTACGGCCAAGAAATCGATCAGGCGTCTTTCCTGACAGTCCTGAGGCTGAGTGCCGGTGACCAGGTGTGGCTGGAGGTGGCGCGGGACTGGAACGGGCTCTACGTCAGTGCTGAGGACGACAGCTTCTTTACGGGGTTTCTTCTGTACCCTGATGACATTTCTGAGATCCTGCTATAGATTTAAAGGGTAAACCTGTTACGAAGGGACATGACTTTCCCTCCGCCTTCTAGTAGAGAGAAATGAAATACCAGTTAGTGACTGTGTTTTGTATCAGTGTAATGGTGAGGTTTCCTGGTCTTTTAACGAAAATGCTTCTATTTGTAAGAAATTGATTAATTTTAATTAGCAGCCCTGATTTTCACTAACAGTCCTGAGCAGATGAGTGATATATCTATGATACCAAACTGCTGCACAAATGTCAGCAGGAGTGGCATGGGGAAGGGGAGCCTCAAGAGATTTCACATCACAGACTTAAGGTTCGTAACCAACCTGTTCAAATTACATAGTGAAACTCATCATCCTACTTAAATTTTAACTGGGCCAGCTCCTGTGAACCTTGTGTGGTCAAAACTCCTGTGGCAATGCATACTGGTAACCACTGGAAAGTCATGATTTTGATTGTAGGGGTTGATTTATAGAGTTTAGTCTGGCACAAACATGAGCAGTAGGTTTCTTCAAATCACATAAAAAGATTCAGAAGTATTTTCCCATTGAATCAGTATTACATAGTACTTTAGACTTGGTCACACATTACATAAAAGTGTGTCTAAGATAGGATTAAAACTGATCAGTGTAAAAAAAAATCTGTCTATTGACCAAATTGTTTTTGTCCTTGAGAGATTTAAATATATTTGAAGTTTTCAAAAGTAACTGAAAGAGATACATAACCTACCTTATTAGGCAGCACAGAAACTCCCCATCGACGTTACAGCTGCGGCTGCTGGAGTCGACCTCGACAGCGATAGAGGAAAAGCAGCCCAAGAAGAGCCTTTGGAGCCCAGGCGAGTCCCAGGGCTCTGTGCCTGCCGAGCGCACGTGGAGGTATGTTTTGAAAAAGCTATTCCACCAAAATGGAGCTGAATCTTGTGAAATAAAAATATGATATTAAGTCATCCCTGGATGTCAGACTAGATGTATTTCCTTATTAATGTAAAAAACTGCTTGCTGTTAATCCCTGCACCTTGCGGGGCGGCTCTGGAGGGCGGAGAGCCTCAGCTCCCATTGCTGAGCCCGCAGGAGCTGCTGCGTAGGCTGCGCCTGTGTCATTTTTCTGCTTATTTGATGAATGCTGGGCCAGCCCCTAACGTAGACACTGCAAATTGGGCTAGTATTCTTACTGCTCTCAGTTTTAGTGCTTAAACTGCCATCATGCTTTCCATACCTTATTTAAATACCATCATAAATCATGTCCTTAATATCCAAGAGTTAACACCAGAGAACTTCTGTAAAATTTTAAGATAAAAGCAAGCCAATTTTAAAAGATCGATCCTATCTACTCAGTAGATGTAAAGGGTCTTTCAACTCCTCAGGTTCACAGCCCTGTTTCAGTATCAGCAATTCAAATATAAGATGTACTGGCTCTGTCAAATAGTTGGTACTTAATTCAGTTCTTAATCTCAGTTGGTTCCTCTGTGGCTCAAATTCAGGGTTCTAAGCAGATAAAAGATGCAGATTTCAGTTTATGAATTCTCTGGCAGCTGTTAAATATTGAGGAAGAACAACAAGTTTTTGTAATAATTT